GGGGGGGGGCCGGGAACCGTCTACAGGCGGGGAAGGGCACGGCCGAAAACAAAAGGGCGCGATCGGGGAGAAGCCGCGGGGCGGGATGGGGGGGGGGGGTAGAAAAAAAATAAGGCGGCGGAGAAGAGGAAGGGGGGCTGGGGCGGCCGCAGCCCCGCTCACCGCGCACGGCGGCGGCTGCGGAGCCGAGTCAGCAACACAAAGACAAAGCGGGTCTCCTGGGGTCTGTCCTCAGAGCAGTCTGTGCCGCGGGGCTCACAGTCCGGGGGGCGGCGGGGGGCTCCCAGCGCCCCGATCTCATGCCTTCCGGCTCTTGAGCGCCTTGGGCTTTGCCGACTTCTTCACCTTCTTGCCCCCAGGAGACGCGGCTCCCTTCTTGGTAGCTTTCTTGGCTTTGCCCTTGTCCTTCTTCGCCGCCGCGCCGCCGGCTCCCTTCTTGTGCGATTTCTTCTCGGGCTTCTTGCTCTTGGCCGCGGGTTTCTCCGCCCGCCGGGATGTGGAGGCCGTCGCCTTCTTGTGGGATTTGTGGGCGCTGCTGCCCGTGCCCCCCTCGCCGCCGCCTTCCAGCTTCTTCCTGTTGAGCTTGAACGAGCCATTGGCGCCGGTGCCCTTGACCTGGAGCAGCGTGTCGTTCTGTACCAGCGCCTTAATGGAGTACTTCAGGTAGGTCCTGCCGTTCTGCTGGTCGAACCAGGCCACCTTCTTGGCCTCGTTGTAGATCTTGGCGAGCGAGGAGCCATTACGCTCGCCCAGTTTGCGGATCGTCTCCACCACCAGCTGACTGTATTTGCCCGGCTGGTTCTTCTTCTTGTTGTTCTTCCTTTTCTTCGACGGCGACAACGAGGAGCCGCCGCCGCCTCCTTTCGCCTTCTTAGCGGCCGCTTTCTTCTCCGGGGAGAGCGGTGCCTCCTCCGCCTCAGTCAGGGGCAGATCGGCTTCTTCCAGCTCTACCGACATGGTGCGGGGGGCCACGGGCCGGAGCGGGGGCGGGCGGGGGCAGCGGCGGCGCGGCGGGGCCCGGCGGGCACGCTGTATCTGCTCCGCTCGGTCCGCGCTCTGCCGGGGCGGGCGCCGCCGCCGCCCTTTATATGGGCGCGGGGCGGACCACGTTGAGAACAACAACAGCCTGGTCCGCCGCCAGCCCCAACTTGTGCTTCTTGGGGCCTCTTCGCGGGGCTCCCGCGCGGCC